CCCGGAGCCCTAACATGATGCAGTGGTACCTCGACTTGAGAACGTTCCTACATAAGAACGATTCAAGTTAAGAGTGGCTCCGTTCGCAAAAAGTTGCTTAGACTTGAGAATGGAGCCTCAACTTAAGAACAACAACAACAAAAAACCTTTCCTGCCCTTTTTTTGACTTAAGTTCACCTTAGGTCAAAAGAAGAAAAATAAATAATAAATTCGCCCCCTAGTGGTAGATATGGATTAACCAGCTTTGCATTAGTTCCTATGGGAACTAATGCTTCAACTTAATAGCGCCTTGACTTAAGAACGAGAAACAGCAGATACGGATTAAGTGGTTTTCAATGCATTCCTATGGGAAATGGTGCTTCGACTTAAGAACATTTTGACTTAAGAACGCAGTCTCAATATGGATTAAGTTCTTAAATTGAGGTACCACTGTAATCCACTGCTGATGTCTGCTCTGTGCGCCTTTGAAAATATTTTTGACTCCTAGAGCTATGAGAAATTAGTGTTTCTTGCTCTTAAGAGTATTTTCCCACCAGACACAAATCTTTCAAAGTTAAGTGCCTGAGGCACGCAAAATAAGTATTTTAACTCTCAGTGAGCAATTTAAAAGGAAAAGCAAACTTAGAGGATGACTACTTGGGCATTTAACCTGCTGTTTGGTCCACTGCAGGGACAATCTAAACCTGGCAATCAAATGTTGTCTTTGCTGAAGCACACCAGCCTGCCCCCAGAGTGTTTCTACACACACCTTTCCAATCCTTATCAGGGACTTCTACTTTTTGGGTGCAGCTAGGATTGCTCTCTTTTGGCTCATTTCTTCCATGTCCAGTTGCTGGAAACAAACCAAAATGAATTGGCAAAGTAAAGTTTTTTGCTTCAATTTGCCAGCTGGTTTTCAGTTTCTCCACATCATTAGTAGTTTATACAGACAGTTTAAACACTTAATGATATGGGGTAATAGGCATTTAATTTTTTTAAGCCAGTAGGACAGTGCTGATACACTGTACCTTTTAAATATATATATATTTTTTAATTGAAGACTTTCTCCCAGTAATGGGAGGAGATAAGAGGAAGCAAGATGGGGGATTTTTTTCATTCCCCCCCTCAGCTTTTCTGTTGCAGGTAAAGCAAGTTGGCTTCCTGGACTGTAAAGAAGGGGGGGGGATCCCCTACCTTTCTTCCTCCTGTCTCCTCTCACTTCTGGGAGGAAGCCTTCATTCCCTGCCCCCTAAAAGGAACAGTGTACAAAATAAGGCCACTGTGCCATGTGGATGCAAAGATTGCATAGCATGGCATAAGAGATCTCCACCTGACCATAAGTGACCCTAATTCGTCTGCATCACCCCACTCCAAACAAGCCAAGCCCTTATTCAAAATAATTTTCAAAATGTGTATAGGGGCAAGGTTGTATTAAAACCAACAGACTGTTGTAACCTATTAACAGTTGTTAATAATGTGCTAAATGTATCATCTGGTTTAACTCAAAGCAGTGTGTGCCTGAAACTACATACTGTTAATTTCCTACAATGTGCCTATCCTGATATTCAAATTGTTGCTTAAGGGGCCCACTGAGAGAGAAGTATGATATTGCCATTTTGCCCATGATAGAATGCCCATGTCAGAGTTCAGGGAAGTAGTAGATGAGATGTATAAACAGGTACTTGACATTTCTAATAGCAACAGCATTGTGATCTGATGAGCTAGGATAAGAGAACTGAATGTATAGAATAAGAATATATTCATGCAAACATTTGCCACTAATCCTTAATTTAATTCAGTTTTTCTATCTTATTTGCATAATTGGTATTTGCATCTTAAAGGAGATGTACATAACAGAGAGCTTTTTAAAATGTAAGCAAATAGGATGAGTGTAAGAAGGGACTTGAAGTTGTAAATAAGCATGAATATTCACTGTGAGATTCTTTTCCTTATAATTGCAGTTAGGTGAACTGGTGAATAACAAGAGTTATAAAATTGTTTCATTAGTTTTGCACTGTCTGGTAATGAGCACTAAAGGTTTAGATGAATTCACTGTTGATGGCTTGTGGGGGGGTATTGTGAATAAACCTCTCTTATATTTTTTACTTTTTATCATACTCATTTTTTTAATTTGTTTTCCGTTTTGATTTGCAAATAGTTTTAAAAGACATGCACAGGGAAATTCATATGCATATGTGTGTGTGTTTCTCCTTGAATGTATTTTGTACTTATATCTAATTTTTGTCTGATTTTATGGCTTGTACATCCAAACTCTGGTCCATTTTTGCCTAATCTTATGGCTTGTACATCTAAACTGTGCTCTAGAGACCTACAAAATCTTCTGGAGCTAGTTTTTGAGAAAGAAGAAGGTTCTTTCATGACATGGAGGTGTTACATACAGCACTGATGTTGGATCATACTTTTTTCTACATGATTTTTATCAAAATATGTATTATCATAAAGTGTCCCCTAATGTATACATTATTGCATACTTTTATGAAGATAGGGAACTGCACTGCAGATTTCAGAATTTCATGGAGACAGCTGCCTTTTTGTTCAGGAAGTGTGAATTATGTAGGTTTGCATTAAAATATAAACTAACTCAAGTTATTCACCACCACTGCCGTTTCATAACCACAGGAAGTTCAGTGCTACTATTCTTACACTTTGTTAGTGATCTATTCTGCTTACTAGGAAAACAGTTAACCTGGAGAGGAGAAACCGAAAGCCGTTGTAGCTGTTGTAGTATACTAGATTTAGGGCCTGTCCACACTTGGAAATTTGGTGTGGTCCAGTTCGTACTTAAAAGGTTCTTATCTTAAGTATGGTCTATTTTAACTCTCACTTGAGCATGTTTCTGTCTAGCCTGGAGATCATGCTACAAGTCTTCTTCTCCTGTGCAAGTCTTCTTCTCCTCCTCAATACAAAACAAGGCTTACCTGGTTTACTTGTAAGTAAGGAGGCAACAGCTGCAGCACAAGGACAGAACTTTGAGGGGAAGATTAGGGAGACAAAAGGGAGATCACACACACACACACACACGTTTTCCATCCTTTCTCCTCAGGTGGGGTTCTGCTTGGGCTGCACTGCCATATGGAACTGAGCCCAAGGGGTTGACATAGCTCCCTTCGTCAGAGTTCAAGGAAGTAGTAGATGAGATGTATAAACAGGTACTTGACATTTCTAATAGCAACAGCATTGTGATCTGATGAGCTAGGATAAGAGAACTGAATGTATAGAATAAGAATATATTCATGCAAACATTTCCCACTAATCCTTAATTTAATTCAGTTTTTCTATCTTATTTGCATAATTGGTATTTGCATCTTAAAGGAGATGTACATAACAGAGAGCTTTTTAAAATGTAAGCAAATAGGATGAGTGTAAGAAGGGACTTGAAGTTGTAAATAAGCATGAATATTCACTGTGAGATTCTTTTCCTTATAATTGCAGTTAGGTAAACTGGTGAATAACAAGAGTTATAAAATTGTTTCATTAGTTTTGCACTGTCTGGTAATGAGCACTAAAGGTTTAAATGAATTCACTGTTGATGGCTTGTGGGGGGTATTATGAATAAACCTCTCTTATGATTTTTACTTTTTATCATACTCATTTTTTTATTTTGTTTTCCGTTTTGATTTGCAAATAGTTTTAAAAGACATGCACAGGGAAATTCATATGCATATGTGTGTGTGTTTCTCCTTGAATGTATTTTGTACTTATATGTAATTTTTGTCTGATTTTATGGCTTGTACATCCAAACTCTGCTCCATTTTTGCCTAATCTTATGGCTTGTACATCTAAACTCTGCTCTAGAGACCTACAAAATCTTCTGGAGCTAGTTTTTGAGAAAGAAGAAGGTTCTTTCATGACATGGAGGGACCAGCCTGATATTGGATGTAGGATCATACTTTTTTCTACATGATTTTTATCAAAATATGTATTATCATAAAGTGTCCCCTAATGTATACATTATTGCATACTTTTATGAAGATGGGAAACTGCACTGCAGATTTCAGAATATCATGGAGACAGCTGCCTTTTTGTTCAGGAAATGTGAATTATGTAGGTTTGCATTAAAATATAACCTAACTCAAGTTATTCACCACCACTGCCGTTTCATAACCACAGGAAGTTCAGTGCTACTATTCTTACACTTTGTTAGTGATCTATTCTGCTTACTAGGAAAACAGTTAACCTGGAGAGGAGAAACCGAAAGCCGTTGTAGCTGTTGTAGTATACTAGATTTAGGGCCTGTCCACACTTGGAAATTTGGTGTGGTCCAGTTCATACTTAAAAGGTTCTTATCTTAAGTATGGTCTATTTTAACTCTCACTTGAGCATGTTTCTGTCTAGCCTGGAGATCATGCTACAAGTCTTCTTCTCCTGTGCAAGTCTTCTTCTCCTCCTCAATACAAAACAAGGCTTACCTGGTTTACTGTCTTTTTCTCCCATGCTACAGATCAATACAAAACAAGGCTTACCTGGTTTACTTGTAAGTAAGGAGGCAACAGCTGCAGCACAAGGACAGAACTTTGAGGGGAAGATTAGGGAGACAAAAGGGAGATCACACACACACACACACACGTTTTCCATCCTTTCTCCTCAGGTGGGGTTCTGCTTGGGCTGCACTGCCATATGGAACTGAGCCCAAGGGGTTGACATAGCTCCCTTCGCTGCCTTCATTCAGGAGGCTGGGGTGACTAACAGAGTAAGGGGCATAGTGAAATGGCAATGCATCAACCTGGTATAGTTTATCACTGCATTGGTTAGGGAAATATAAGAAGATGAAAATAGTGGAGGAGCTTCATCTAATTTATGATGATAGTTCACAGGAGTGATCCTGCTGGTTTGTCTTGTGACTATATTTTGATGGAAGGTACCTAGAGTCTAAAACTCTAGGTACCTGAAGCTCTAGGTATCTGAATGGCTTGTATAGATTTGAATAAGGAAAAGATACTAATAGCACAGCCTTCTTAACTGACGTGTATTTCTTTCCCCCTATCTTCTTCTTTAAACAGTTATATTGCAAACCAGCGGAACTTAGAAAGCATAAACGAAGTAGATGTTGTAGGATACATTGGATTAAGAAATTTGTAAGTATAGTGTCTAATTATTTACATTTATTTTTATTGTCCTGCCTTTGGCCTATATTGGTGTGTAAAAGTGCACGTGGAGTCCCTGCATATGTGGGAGTCCTTATTTATTCTGGTGAAGAACATCTCTATATGCATGCAAAAATTATGTGGATGGAACTGATCTCTTCTTACTGCAAAAAAATGACTCTGTCTCTGCATGCACGTAAGCCTCAGCAGCACACTGAACCTCTCAAACACTCATTTGGTGGCTGAACTGGGATATGCTGTTTAATAAAAGTAGAGAATGATAACTCTCAGAGAGTGATAACACTGATCGGGTTGAATAGAAGTGGAACAAATACAATACAACAGTTGCTTCAGTTTCTAAACCAAGTGATATCATTCTGATACCATTTGAGCTACATAGAGGCAGAGTGATATAGTGATTAGAATGCTGGACTGGGATTTGTGAGATCCATGTTCGAGTCCCACTGATCAGTGAAACTCACTGTGGAACTTCATGGCAGTATGTTTTATCTGCCTGACCTACATTATAGAAGTAGGAAGGAGAGACATGTACAACTTATTTTGTTCTTACCTATAATGCTTGCACAGACCAACATGGCTACCTCTTCTACTTATAACTTAAGCTTACTGGAAGAATGCAGGATGTAACTAGCAAGTACATATTAATGAGTGAATGAACGAATGAAGATTTATGGATAACAATTCTAATTTGTGCTTTTATATTTTTACAGAACTGTTGTGGATTCAGGTTTGAAGTTTGTTGCACGCCAAGCTTTCCAGAAAAATACCAACCTGCAGTATATGTAAGTGAAAATACACTCTGTGTTTCCAAAGCAGAAAATTTTTTATTGCATCTCATTACTTTATTTGCTGTTGGGAAATGTTGGGAGCTGCTATTTAAAAATAACATGTTGGGGCCTGCAACAAAATGTTGGAGTGTTTTCCTCATGTCTTCAAGGGGCCTGGCACAGAAACCTTGCAGTGCTGTTTGTGATTCAGAGAGAGCTCTGCATTTGGCAAAAGGAAGATTTCAGAGAAAAGACAATGGAGAAACTTCTTCTCTATGCATCTGAAATATTTTCCTTGCTGGGGAAAGGATGCAGGTTTGTGGCCAACTTCCAGCCCTGAACATTTTTGTCAGTA